GCGGGGGCGCGCGGCAGCGCGCGGGGGCGGGGGCGGGGGGTGGAGCGTGCGCGTGCGCGTGCGCGCCAGGCCCTCGCCGCGCGACCCAGAGAGGGAGGGGCGGTTTGTCGGCCCTCTGACTGAACGGGCTATCGCGCTCCAGACGCCATAGCGGCCTGCCTGCAGAGACCTGCTTTACATAGAGCTCGAGGCTGGGGCGGGCTCTGGGCTTAGCGGCGCAGACGGAGAGGCGGGACTGGGTCTGTGCGTGACGGCGGGTGGGCGGGCCCCAGCCGCTGCGCGCACCTGTGGCTCTCACGGGGCGCAGATCTGGGGTCTAGGTGGTTGGCGCCGGACCTTTGCAGGAACAGTCTTGGTCTTGCAACCCAGGTAGCCGTGGTTCGGCTTAGGAAGGCAGTGAGACTCGGCGCCTCGGCGTCTGGCCCAGCGCGGAGCCAGGGGAGGGGATGGCTAGACCACCCGAATGGGAGGGTCAAGTATAAAAATACCGTCCCTCCACCCCCGCCAACTTTTTACTGACTTCTCTTGAGGGACTGTGACTGGCCCAGAGTCTCCCTGCCAGTTAACTGACCTTGACTCCGCCCATCCTTGTAACAGTGGCAGGGATTGTTTTGAAAGTGGAACCGTTAACTACCCTAATGGAGAGGCTGGGAGCAATGACTTTTAATTCTAATCCAAATGCCCTTTCCATACTTTGGTCTGCGTCAAGCCCCTTTGTTGTCCTTTAACTTGTTAAAACAAATGTAAAAATTTAACTTCGAGAGTATTGACGATCCCAGTCTAGGATTAAATGTTCCTTCAGATTAGGTATTTCTGCACAATTGGCTCAATAGCTGGTAAAAAAACAAAACAAAACAAAAGATGCTTCTAAAGTTTCACTGTCCAATAGATTACGTTTATAATTTAAGTTTTTCTAGTAGTCATATTAATAAAGTTACCAGTTTTAGCAAATAAAAATATACCCAGTGAAAATTTGAATTTCAGTTAAAAGAGGGATAATTTTATAGTGTTAAAATATAAGCAGGAACATATGAAATTCACATGTAACTGGGTGTCCCATATTTTATCTGGAAACACTACATATTAAGAAAAGTAAAAAGGAATGGATGAAGTTAGTTTTAATAATATGTTTAATAATATATTCAGTCTGAGATTTCCAACATTATCATTTCATCATGTAATCAACATAGAAATTAATGAGATATTTTATATTCTAATATAAAAAATCATTGATCTTACTTACTTTTCTTTTTCATACTAATATTAAGAATCCAGTGTGTATTTTACGGCACATTTCAATTTGGATTAACCACATTTTAAGTGCTCTGTAGCCACATGTAGCTTTAGTGGCTATCTTATTGGACAGCACTGTTATAAAGCCTTTAAAAATTAGGGCTGCTAAATTTAACATTGCAGCATATTCCTTTTTTTTATAACAGTGGCTTGGTGATAGAGAACTAAATGTATATTGTTTAAATGTAATCTCTTGGATAAACACTCTTTAATAGTGATTATATTCTAAATTGAAAATAAAAATAGAGGACAAGTCAGCATGTTTTATGCAAGAAAATATAAACATTTTCCTAAAACATAAAAACATAGATTTTTAAAACTTGAGATAAAAGTGTTAACACAGATACTAGTCATTTTGTTTATACGTACAATATTCCTGCCTCCTGAACATGTCTGGCTTTGCCTTCAAAAGTGCACTTAGTCCTTTCTACCATCTTATCTCAAGTAACAGTCCTTTTCTGGAACTAACTGAAAAGGAAAACCAAGCTTCTTGAAAATAAACTTTTTTTGTATCAATTCTCAAAATTGTTTCAGTATTTCAAAATAAACTAAAGCTTCTCTGAGAAGAATGCTGACCTGCACCCAGACCAAAAAAAGTGAAAAGGTCTTAAGAAATATCACTTGGACATCAGAAAACACTCCTGAAGGGTCTGAAAACAATTCAGTAGGTTACCAAAAAAGATTTTAAGAAAACAAATCTTTTGCCAAAAAAGGCTTGTCTATGTGCACAAAGCAAAGAGCAACCTGTAGCAGCGGCTTCCAGTTCTAGGTGGGGTGGTGGTTACTCTCTGAATGTTATTATTATTGAAACTGCATCTTTTAAAAGAGAGATTAAGAGGCACCTGGGTGACTCAGTCAGTTAAGCGTCCGTCAGGATATCACTGGTCACGGGTTTGAGCCCCACATCGGGCTCTGTGTTCACAGCTCAGAGCCTGGAGCCCGCTTCATACTGTGTGTCTCCCTCTCTCTCTGCCCCTCCGCCACTCATGCTCTGTTTCTCAGAATAAAAAAAAATGTTAAAAAAAATACACAGATTATTAAATAATGGATTAAAATAAGGAAGAATAAACATCTATAACTCCTTGATTTATCTTCTATTCAACAAGATAGAATTTTGGAAACTTTACAATTCCAGGTTAAGAGACAATACAGTGCATTAGTTAAGAGCATAGTCTCTGGGTATAGCTGTCAGCATTCAATTACTGACTCCTTCAAGTCCTAGCTTGTAAACGTGAGCAAGTTTATAAACTTTCCAAACCTCAATTTCCCAGATGGTAGTGGTGAGCTCAGTGCCTAGCTAGCACATGTTAAGTGTGAAATAAGTATTAGCTATAGTTATTTTTATTTTTGCTTATTGACTAAAGAAACACTTTTGGAACTACAAGTTCTCCATAGATTTGGAAATGTTTACATTAAGTGAGCTGAAGCAGGCAGCCCTTAACTTGCCTGAGGAAGGAGAAGCCTCCAAAGAAAGAACTCCTTTGGGAAAAGAGAGGAGGTCCAGGCTTCGTCCAATGTTATAGCTTCATTATTGGAGTGAAGGATGATTCAGAGGGTCTGCCCAGGCAATGCTGTCAATTCCACAGATTGTGTACAGATTTTATAGAAAGTGAAATCTGGAATAGCTATTTTTTTTGACAAGATCTCTGTGACATTTCATTTGCCTTCGCCTCAGAACATCAGAGTATGACTCAAGAGTGGAGGAATAGGGGTCTATCCCCCTCATCAGACAACATCCCAAGTAGCATTTCATCACCCATACCTATCAGTACTTTGGGTACAGTAGAACAGCTGCAGTTGAACTTGGCATAGCAAGACTTCATTTGTCAGTGGGAATGCAGTACTTTTGTGCCACTGGTGCCCTGGTGTCCACTGCAGACACACCTCAAAAATAATGACAGAATAATCTATATTCATGGGCCCAACTGTGGTTAGAGGTTTGACTTTGAAGGAGTTTGGGGTTGCACAGATAGAAGAGGCAGAGAAATCACATTTGTGCTGGTATATGGTCCTGCCTTTTAAGTCCCAATTTATTTTGTCCTGGACAGATAGATAACTAACCGTGAAGAGAATGAACCGTGAAACATTTTTAGGACTAGAAAAAGTATGTAATGAAATACTTTGAACAAGTTTTTAAGGACTTAGATGTCTGGAATTCTACTTTGAACAAGTGTAATTTCCAATGTGAAAACCTACAATCTGGCTTCAAGAAATACAGGACAATTTTTAAATTCCAGGTAAATAATTACACATTGCTACACACTTCAGCAACAGTAGGAATGTAAACTCATTCCCCTCAGGGTATACCTGCATAAAATGAAATGTCAAATATGTTGCTTGCCTTTTGAAGACTGGTTACCACATTCTAGAATAGATAGAAAAGATATTGGTGATGGCTAATGTTAGAAATATCAGTTCAGCCAAAAGGCTTTTATGTCTGTATGTGATATAGAAGGAAAATTGAGTCATTGATGTTACTTACTTCTTCCTTCAGTCAGCAAATAGGATGTAATGTGCCCAACAGTGTTCTGGGTTCTGGGAATCGAGGAAACAAACAAGGTATCTATTCTCACAGAGCTCACACTTTAGTTGGGGGTGGGGGAATGGTGAAACTGACGATAAACTTGTGAAAACAAATAGGAATTTCTAGTAGTGGTAAGTGCCAAGAAAAGATAGAAGAGAATGACAGTGTAAAGAGTGACAATCAGTGGGTGGCTACCTTAGATTGAATG